CTAGCCTTGAGCTGAAGAGCTGAGGGACAGTGCCCAGGCCCAGAGTTCAGGCCCCATGACCGGACCCCCCAAAAAAATAAAAATAAAAAAATAGTAACAATCTGCCAGGCACCAGTGGCTCACGCCTATAATCCTAGTTACTTAGGAGGCTGAGATCTGAGGATCACAGTTCAAAGCCAGCCCGAGCAGTAAAGTCCATGAGACTCTAACCTCCAATAAACCACCAGAAAACCAGAAATGACACTGTGGCTCAAGTGATAGAGCACTAGCCTTGAGCTGAAGAGCTGAGGGACAGCACCCAGGCCCAGAGGTCAACGACAATTGACCAAAAAAAAAAAAGTAACAACATGCCTGTGTTTGGTGATATTTTGTGTGTGATAGATAATACATGTGTGATGCTGGGATTGAACTCAGGGCCTCACATATGCGAGGCAAGTTCTCTACCACTGATCTATACTCCTGAATCTGTGTTGGTGGTTTTGTGTGAAATCGTATTCATCTGTTTCTAGAACACTGCTCCAGTTAATCAAATAAATCTTAAAGCCATTCTGAATTGACTTTTGAGTAGGGAGAAAAGTCTAGTTGGAGTCTTCTATACGCAGACAGCCATTTTCCCAGCATCATTTGTTGAAGAGCTCTCTTTCTCCAATGTATATTTTTGGCTGCTTTGTGAAGAATCAGATGGCTGTGACTTAGTGGGTTTATTTCTATGACTTCTCTTATATTACACTGATCTATGTGCATGTTTTTGGGCCTGTAGCATTATCCTGGCTCGGTAGTGTAATTTGCAGTCTGTAATACTGAAGCATTACTTTTTGTCCAGGATTACTTTGGCTATTGGGGATCTTTTCTGTTGTTGTTGTCATTGTTGTTGTTTGCCAGTCCTGGGGCTTGAACTCAGGGCCTGGGTACTGTCCTTGAGCTTCTTTTGCTCAAGGCTAGCACTCTAGCACTAGAGCCACAGCACCATTTCCAGCTTTTTCTGTGTACGTAGTACATAGTATGTGGTACATGTGGTACTGAGGAATTGAACCCGGGGCCTCATGCATGCTAGGCAAGCACTAAGCCATAAGCCCAGTTCCTTGTTTATCTTTTTTAAGGAGTCAACTTTCTGGTTTATTCTTTGTAATGGTTTTTAGTTTCTGTCTCTTTATGTATTAATATTCTTTCCAGCTACTAATATTGGCTTTGGTTTGATCTTGAATTTTTGCTAAGAGTATGAGGTGAACCATTAGGATATTTGAGATCTATTTTTGAGGTACTGCTAGAGTTTGAACTTGGGGCTTTATGCTTGCTAGACAGGCAAGCTATACCATTTGAGACATGTCCCAATCCCATTTTGCCTTAATTATTTTTCAGATAAGGTCTTCTTTTTTTTTTTTTTCCTAGCAAGACTGAAGCACAATTCTTCTATTTAGCTCTAACTTGTAATGGTGACTACTGGTGTGTGCCACCTTGCCAAGCTTTTGTTCTTGTTTTTGGAGATAGATTCTTGTTTTAGTTTGTTTTTGTTTTTTGTTTTTTTTTGGTCGTGGGGCTTGAACTCTGGGCTTGGGCACTGTCCCTACGCTCTTCAGCTCAAGGTAAATGCTCTATCCCTTAAGCCACAGCACCACTTCCAGTTTTCTAGTGATTTATTGGAGATAAGAGTCTCACTTTCCTGCCTGGGCTGGCTTTGAACTGTGATCCTCAAATCTTAGCCTCCTGAGTAGCTAGGATTACAGGTGTGAGCCACCAGTACCCGGCAGAGATAGATTCTTGGTATACCACCCAAGTAGCTGGGCTTTCACACATGAGCCACTGAGCCTGGCTGATTTTTTTTAATATACTTGCTCAAAGCACTGTAAACTTTCCTTTTGCCTGTTCCTTTGCCATATCTTAAAGGTTCCAGTATTTTATTTTCGTTTTTGGTCCAAGATAGAACTTGAACTCAGTACCTGATGCTTTTGCTCATTTGCTAGCACTCTAGCAACAGAGCCACACCTCCAACTCTTTGTATTTCATTTGATTCTAGGAATTATTTCCTCTCTTATTTCTTATTATTTGTTGTAGTATTGGTATTTCAACTTGGGACCTTGTAGTGGCTAGGCAGGGGTAGTACTACTTAAGCCACACCCCCATTCCTTTTCACTTTAGTTATAATTTGGATAGGGTCTCATATTCTTGTGAATGCTTTCTGTGTCACATAGTGACACATTTGTTCTTCACTATAACCGTGTGAGATAGCTACTCTCATTCCCATGTTTTAAGTAAAGAAACTGAATACAGAGATGTCCAGCAAGTTATTCTTCATCACACAGTAAATACCAACAATTGAACGCAGATAATATTATGAAATCCTGGTGTTTTTTCTTTTTTTTGTCCCATCCTGGGGCCTGAACTCTGGGCCTGGGCGCTGTCCCTCAGCTCTTCAGCTCAAGGCTAGCACTCTACCACTTGAGCCACAGCGCCACTTCCAGCTTT